CCTGCTGAGGTCCACGTAGGTTACTAACAGGGGGTTCCCACTAAAATATTTAATTTAAATAGATTTTCAAATAATCTGATTTTATCATACATTCTACAATATAACTATCAAATCAATTACTGTGATTTCAGCATGTTTTAAGGGCGCTGTTATTGCTCATCTACTTTATATTTCACTTGTATTGTGTGGCATCCATGTGGACGACAAAGTAAGAATTTCATTGTACAGGGAAACACGTTTCCTAACTGTGCATATGACATATAAAACTTTGACCTTGACCTTTGTTTTGAGTTTATTTGTTTAAAGTTCTGACATGTCAGAGTGAGAGAAATGCGTCCACCTTTTACCAGTCTTTCGATTCTTCATGTAAAACCGGGATTCATTCAGTCTATAAAATATCATTTTCCTTTTCAACAATTTTTCCTGCTCGTTCTCTCCGCAAGGGGGCGGTGTTTTACTTCTGTTTTTATCCAATCAGAAAGGGCATGCTTGTGTAACCATTGGTTACCAGAGCAGTGGCATTATGGGATATACAAATGGAAGCATTCAGGTCGAGTGCATGTCTTTACTGAAAATTAACAGTTACTGCGTATGTCATTATTGTGATGCACATTTAATGGGCCTGCAGATGAACATTTCGGGGGATTTCTGGGCCTCTTTCACCAACATCGTGTGTATTAATATTTTTATTCCTCGTTTTAAGCATCACTAGCCCGGCGTTTTAGTCGTATGCGTTAACCAGCTTCTGCCATAAATGAAAACAGATGCATGAGTGATGTATGGGTCGCTGTGAGTTACCCAGCGACTTATACAGCTACGAATTGGACCCATATAAGAGAATCGATGTGCAAATCTCGTCTTAGGCACGCGAGATAATAGCAAATGTTAGTTATGCTATGCACCAGTTTATTAGCGCGCGACAAATTCAAAGGGGAATAGCCAGCCTAGTCGTTGTTTCATGTTCAGAGTACTAGGAACACATGTGCTGTATAGCCTAATATTTGAATGTATTTAAAGAATTGTTTGATAACATCCATTTAACATGATATTAGTCTATTTAGAGTAAATGTCACACATTGTATTGATGGCCTGCATTTTATGGCACGAGTTTAATAATTGAGTAAGCTAACATACCGTAGTGGTCCCCTCATTAATTAACGTTAGCATGTTTTCTCCAAAGGTTTGCTACACACCTTACAAAACGGATATGCTAGTAAATGACGTAGGCTTGTTTATGCCCCGACATTAAAAATATTTTTATCATACAGAAGACTGAGCATGTTATCACCCAGATGGTTAGAGGAGTCTTTGGTGACTCCAGAGATACCCCCAGAACCATGGTAAGCCTTTTAAACAACCTGTGTTGGGGAGTAGTGAACTACATGTAATTAAACTACTAGTTTAGCTACATTTTGTAATAACTTGCTGATAGTTCAACTACATTCAGTGACTGAAGTAGTTAAATTACGTTTTTTAATTTTTTTTTGTGTTAACTACTGCAACTACAAATAATGTTGGGCCATAAAGTGAAAGGAATGTTTTTTTTAATTTTTTTATTTTACCATCCCTTTTCTAACCCTAACTGGCTTTGGGCAAAATAACTTTGAGAGACTCCTCATGTGTCCTATAAACAAGAGATTCTGCTCTGAGAAGTGGTAGTAAAAGGTACAGGCCCATGTGGACCAGTGTTCAAGCTGCTCATAACATCTAAAAGGTATGAAAAGCTCAACAAGTGCACAGGTCAGATGTTGCAAAACTGACTCACACTCATCATTTTTTTTACAAAGCAGTTTACCAAAATACCTTTCTCTATAGAGTAGTTATACTATAATTTAACTTCTTCTGCTGTGAAGTAATTGATAGTTTGTGAGGTTCCATTTTCCTCAACAGTGCAAACATCACAGTTTGAAAATTGTGAGTAGTGTTATCTCTGTGACCCAAATGTATGATAATGTTTTGCCAATACAGGAGGGGCACAAACTGGGGTATATATTACTTGCTCTGCACCACAGAGATTGTGTTTACACAATAAAAAAGACAAATATACTTTCAGTATGAGTTTGATAATTGAAAACATTGTAAACTAGAATAGTGAGCCTGAAATGCTAGCAACCATTAAGGCACTGACAGGTTGTCCAAAATCCTGTTAATAGCTTTTTATGAAGGCTAGTGGAAAAGTGATCATCAGGTGTACATGCAGGTAAAACTAAGTCTGTTTATGTGTATTTAAACCCTGCATAAAGGATGTGGCTGTTTTCTGAGAGATAAGCATTTGTATTTTGTATGTCAAGACAACATTCTTGCTTTTAAAGTTATAATCTTAGCAAGGCAGCTTGATTCTTTCCTATAAGAGTTTTGCTACTTTCTGAAAACTGAATTAAATAAATTTCAAAAAAGCCCTGTAATTCATTGAAGGAGTAGTGTAGGCAGTAGGATGAGTACCTTGATCGAATTGTGGGAAGCTAAAGGGAAAGAATTTGTAATTATTAAAAGACCATTTGATAGCTTAGATCATTCTCCACAAAGGATACTATTGGGTAAAAAGGATACAAGGATACAAAGTTGGTAAAATAATATCAGACAATGTTACACGCTGTGTGTGTGTGTGTGTGTGTGAGGCCAGCACTACAATGCTAGACAGTTCAGCCTGTCATACTCTACAGGATGAGAATGATAGAAGTCACATTAATAGTTTATTTTTTGCATTGTGTGCAGAGGACAGTTGCATACCTTTGTGACAACTAACAGACAAAAGGCAACAAATTAGTCAAAAATATAACGGAGTAGATTAATAATACATACTTACGGCATGTAAGGGAATGCTTTGGGTACAGTTGTGATAAAACGACACCAAACCCACTACTTTTCCTCTTCACCATCATCATGCCTGCTGAGGATAAAACACCACAAAAGGCTCGCCAGAGGAAAAAGAACAGGAAGTCCATCTCCAAGCGGAAGAGCCCTGGTGGGAGCCCCAGTGCCCACCAGGGAGGTACCTTTGATGGACAGGATGAACATATTTTACCTTCAGTCCTCCAGCCTGTTCCTAAGAAACAGGCAGAGGAGAAGCCGGAAGTCTCAGTGGCAGAGGTGGAGGAGGAGTCGTCCATAGCTATCTGTCTTCAGGTGCTTTTTCCATACTTGCTGGCTGGGATGGGCATGGTGATGGCCGGCATGGTGCTGGACAGTATACAGGTGAGTATCATCAGTAACATGTAAAGCTGTTATAGGTGTCATCATTAATTTACCAAGCAGTGATACTGGATTTAGTGATACTTCTAGGTGTTGTGTTTGGCTGCCACTGCTAAGTCACTAGTTTATTGAGCACGTGCAGTCTGCCCATTGTTCTGAGCACTGTTTGCTTTTGTTACTTCTGATCACCTTTTGCATCTATAGTGAACACAAGTCAAACATCCTAAACCTGATTGGTTCACATACCTGCTATAAATACCTCATGGATGGGAATACATATCTGCTATTATGAGGAGGGCAGGTGGCCTGACAGCACCACATCCACTACACATATTGCATTACATTCACCCAGTTCTTCAGTTAGCTTAGTTTGTGTTGCAGCAGTTGCTAGATGTTTCTGTGACACTCACCCAGTCAGAACAATGATGCAGGTTGCCTACAAGTTGATTTAAATATAACCTTTTACAAACATTTCTTATGACTCAAAAAATTTAAGTATGAAAATCTTCCCTTTTAATTAATGTAGAGTGGATAATTGTGTTGTTGAGTGTGGGCTAGTTGTGCCTTTATCCTCTGCCAAGCATCCCTGGTCTGCAGCCAGCTGGGCTCAGACACACTGTTATCTGCTTTAGAATGAGTGGGTACCTATTTTTTTTTCTTTGTCCACCACTGATAAACACACGTGTGTCCTCATAGAGGTTATTCCTTTCACTTCGTATTGTATGTTTCTCATCAGTATTTTCTTTATTCTCTCCTCAGTGGTATCTGTTATCCTCTTGTATCTGATGGAGGACAATTAGTCATGATTTTGGCTGATTGGTGTGTCTCAAAAGTGCAGGGGATGTAGAAGGACATGGAGAGCAGCCTATCTGAATGGAAGGGAGATAAAGAAAAGAACGCTATATGCTCAGCAATTAGGATTGTTACAGTAGCCTATGGTGGTTATGGATCGTGTGTAAACCACATCCCGTTACCATACCTGCACCTTACATCCTACGTTATGTCCTACCTCCTGTGACTGCCAGTGGGCTTTTTCAGCTTTTTACCCTGTTAGTTTGTAATTACTTTCCCTGCTATGGCTCACTGTGTTTTACCAAGCTTGGGCTGCATTACACAATTGATTTCTGATTACCTTTTTGGGCTGAAATTCACACTGGGACCTTTCATTGATTCTTCTCTCCTCTGTCACACAGAACCAGTTAAGTGTTGATCTTTGTTAAGATAAACCTAAAGATGTCTATAGTTGGACATTTCATGCTGTTAATATTAGACAAATAAATGCGATGCCAAACTGTTACAAAATAGGTGAGGAACATGGAGCGACCAAAGACTATGTTCATTATATTTATTTTATTTCCTATAAATGGCAAATGAGAAGGCTGTAGAGGTAAGAGAATGAACCATCTTTTGTGCAGTCTGAGGGTGCATCCACGGTGATGGCATACAGCTTTGTGTGATGTATACTGTGCTGTCTGATGATGGATTAACAGTGTGTTCTGCAGCTCTTTAAGTTGGGCTTACATGCGAACAGGTTGTGAATCAACATAACATTTCTGTTACTTACAAACAAAAATAGCTACATGCTATGAACTTGTCTGAGTTTGTTGCTATCATGATCCAAGTCAAGTCCAGTTTGGTCGCGTCCCGCTCTCCTGAGGTAGGGGAGGAGAGAGTAGCTGGCTATGCAATAAATTTGTGCTTTTGTGAATAATTCACATTCTAGGTATTGACCCTTCATGTTTTCTCTGAAGTCTGAAAGGACAATGACTTGATTTGTAGCTTGAAGCCACGGGCAGATGGGCAGCAATTTGACCACCACTGTCGACACGCCAACCGGAGGGTGTCATAGTTTAGGATTGAAACACCTACTGAAGTTGTGCACCCTCTGAGGATATGTGCTCCTGATCAAAGGCTACAGTTACCTCATTGAAGGAATTAATCATTTAAGGTGCATAAGCCCTTTCACAACAAAGCAGGGATCAAATAAATGGTTTGATAATAAATAAAATAGTATCCATTACCTCCAATTCAACAAAGAAAGGGACAGCTTGTCGAAGCATGTTGTACATGTAATAGAAAAGGGTAAAAAGAAAAGTGTTTTGAAGATTCTGGTTTGAAAAGTGGCCTGAAATCATATTTTATTTCAGTTTGCCTTCTTAAAAGCAGACAGTGCTTTAGTCACACAGTGCAGTATGATTGCAGTATGTCTTACATGTGGTTTTACAAAAGGAGATTAAACAGAATTACAGTGCAAAGTCACTGTAGCAGGTGGACCAGAGATAGAGGGAATGATCAGAGAGAAGGAATGAGTCACAGTATGAGGAGCGAGACCGAAAGAGAGGGACAAGAAAGAGAGGAACACGGAGACCGGCCAACGCAGACAGGAGGGTGTCACATGGATGGCACGAGGGAGAGAGGATGAGAGGCAAACACGCAGCAAGAAATAGCGAGAGGGGGAGAATGAGGGGGTAAACTGGTCATGTCTCTCATGAGTTTGCATGTCGGGCAGTGCAGAGAGCCCTGCTTCTTTCTCTGCTACGTCATAGCAGAGCAGAGCGGAGGGAACAGGATTACCCAGATGCTGACAGGAAGAAAGAACCACTCCAGCCTGCCAGAAGCCGGCTGCTGCATGTCATCAGTGGACCTCCAGGACCTCTCATCGTGAGCCTGCCAAAAGAGAGGAACGTGTTGGAATGACAAAGACATAAAGAGATCCTGATTCTTGTCAAGACTTTTTGGACAATTCATCATCTTCTTGCTGCTATCAGTCATTCGGCTGTCGTGGCAAGTACTGCTGTCATTGGTGGGATACAGCCGTGCCTTTATACTGGAGTTCAAGTGGATTGCACACTGGATCAAGTGACTTCCGGACTACATTTAACAAACACCATGTTAAATTGAAAGGCTTTTGAATGACATCAAATGGGTCCCAGAGTTGCTCAGAGAAACTTGACTTAATCAGGACTGAAATCAGAATTCTCCATTGTCAGGTTCATTCCCATTAACCTAAGTGAGATTGTCAAAGCCATTTTTCTAACCTTTACTTCAAACAGTAGGCCAGTTAAGGACAAACTGCGACTTTGACTGAGGACGTGGAGTATCTGTGCTTGTAGAGAACACTGACCTATGAATCAGAAGCCGTATAATGATTGCGCCCCAGTGGTGATGACAAATGGGTACCTCATCACTGCTGACTCACCACTGGCCCAAAGATGTCCCACGTCATTGCCCTCAAGTCTGAGTTTAAGCTTTTAACTTTGATTTTGCATGGGAAGAAAATTAATTTGGACAAATTGCAATAAATAAATAAATAATCGCAATCTTTTTTATTTATTTAACTAGGTTTTCTCTTCTGAGCATGTGAAGACATGGCACTAGCTGATTCTTCAGAGGTCAAAAGGACTGATATAAGCTGATTGGATCATTTGGTCATAGTCGAGAGTGATTTTTTTTTTTTTTTTTTTTGAAGAAGAAGCCTGTCATTTGTTTTGCCTCAACTACACACTCATCCTTAATGTCTGGATTGCAGTTGCACTTACCATGGGGCAACTAAGCGCTTAATTAACCCCTTGTGCAACATGGCAGTGACTCGTCTGGAGCTGGAGCTGTACTACCAGGGCAGAAAGTTACGTGGCGTGACGTGGAAGTTGACTCGATCAGAACATGGTTTCCTACCAGAGAGCTCTTGGCTGATTGCTGCTCAAGTTATAGTACCGTACCTGGTGTCAGGACTTGGAATGGTCTCCGCTGGTATCATCATGGACCTTATACAAGTATGAGAAAATATTAGTGGAATTCTTTTTGAGAGATTGATTGTAGACTGATGGATAGGGTTTTGATTTGATTTGATTTATTCTTTCAAGCATGTAAAGACAGTTGATATGTCAACACACATAATTTTACACATATCCAACAAATGCTAATCCAATATCAATGTGCTTATACCTAGTACATGCTTGAATGGAGTAGGAAGAAGTCAGACTTATCCAGTCCTACCCCATGACATCATCTTACCATCATTGGTTTGCAAGCAGTAAATGATTCACTTCTACCCACACAAGTATTATACTAAAAAAAGATTATAACAGTGTTAACATTCTTACAT